AGCTACGGCCCCAGTGACTCCGTGTCACATGTTTTACTTCGGCTACGGCCCCAGTGACTCCGTGTCACATGTTTTACTTCAGCCACGGCCCCAGCAACTCCGTCACATGTTTACTCCGGCTACGGCCACAATAACCCCCACGTCGCGCCCTTCATTTCAGCTCCAGCCAAGGTCATTTAGTGTGATATGATTTGCTTCGGCCCCAACCACAGTACGACTCCGGTCGTTACTTTTTATGGCGACTCATAGCCACACGTGGCCTGTGGTCATCTATGCAGGTAAAGTTACCAATTGTTATTCCATAGCTTATCTTTATTTCTCTTCCTTTCTATTTATGCACTACTCCTATCACTTCCAACAACATCATTCACAAGTGAATGACTTCGGGGGGGGGGGGGAATAGTGTAATGGTAACTCCAAAGCTTCCCGCTCGAACAGCTACACAACTGTTATGATGGACACCCTTGCATCCAAGTATATCTCAATCTCCCAGTCCCAAAATAACTGTTTGGAGATACGCATCAAATCCCGAATATTTTGCTTTGCTCAATCGTCCGGTCCCGAAATAACTGCCTGGAGATACACATCGGATCCCCGATATCTTGCTGGGCATCGTGTTTGACATACCGCGTGGATTCTTCATCAGAACGTATAAATACCCCTTAAGGGCCACGCCAAAAAGGTAATTGAAACCAACCCTAAGCTCCTTGTTTCCCCGTTTCAAAGGTAACCCCGATTATTGCTGACTTAAGCATCGGAGTGTCTACCCCGAGGATCCACCTCGGGGCTTTGCAGGTTAATCCAGAGTGCAGATACGGACTGAAGAAGGACTTCCGGTTTGGTGCAGTTACACAACCCCCCTTTCTCCGGAATCAACCAAGAACCCCCCAAAATCAACTCCAAACTCCAACCAAAGTAAACTCCAAAACTCCACAATCAACCAAAGAACCCCCAAAATCAAACTCCAAACTCCACCCCCTTCCTTTACTCTGCTTTTGCCCTATATATATAGCCAAGCAACAAAATGAAATAAAAATGAAAAAAAAGCAGTCACCAATGATGCCAATTTTGTCTGCTATCGGCTGTTTTCTTCTGTATGGCTGTAGTGTGCAGGAGGCAGGGGCGTAGCAGGGGCACAGGCATAGCAGAGTGCAGGCGATATGGTGCAGGGCAAGGGGGTCTGGTGCAGAGCGCAGGAGCTGGTGCAGAGCAAAGCTAGTGTAGGAAGCAAGGCCGGGCGCAGGAGAGTGCAGGCTGGGGCAGAGTGCAGGCTCAGTGCAGGCAAGCAGTAGGGGATCTGCAGCAGGGGGCGCAGAGCAGGATCGGTGCAGCAAGCGGTTGGCGCAGAGCAAGGGGATCACAGGATTGGGCGCAGAGAAGGGAGCAGGGGCGCAGGCGCAGCATGTAGCAGTAGGGGATCTGCAGAGGAGGGTCGGTGCAGGCGAGGGGGGGCAGCAAGCAAGCAAGCTCAGGCGGGTGCAAGGCTGGTTCGGGTGTGTGGAGGAGCAAGGCAAGGTTCGGGTGTGTAAAAGGGCGTGGAGCAGGGCTTAGTGAGGAAGAAGGTTCTGGAGAGAAGGAAAGCAAAGACCTTGCCATTTTTTTTTATTTCCCTTTTATTTTTTATTTTTATTTTTATTTTTATTTTTTTGGAGATTGAGTTTTTGGGTAGTTGGGTTTTGGGTAATTGGGTTTAAGTGTTTGGGTTTTAGGTAGTTGGGTTTGAGTATTTGGGTTTTGGGTAATTGGGTTTGTAATTGGGTTTTGATGATTTAATGGGCTCAATTGAAATGGGTTGGTGTTGAGTTTGCAACTTTGATGAATTTCACCCTTAAACTTTTGATTCCTTCGATTGAATCCTTTCTCGAGTTTCTTTTTCCATTTTCTTCTTGAGTTTCTTTTTGTACATAGCACTTGAAATAAAATAGAGATATATTAGTCAAAGAAAAGAGAAATTTTCATAGTTTTTAATGATTTTTTTGATTTTTTTTTTTAATAAAAAGTCTAAATAAACTAAGTGAAAAATCGGGTTGTGACACTAAGAGATGAAATGGATCTTAAAATGAAGAAGTAATAATTATAAAGAAGAATAAGACAAAGATCACTTGAAAGAAGTGTATTAAAAGTAAAATTTCTTCAAGTTATTGACATTTCAGACTCTAGGAACTCTCTTCCCTTTAGCGTCTTGGAGGATATAGGCGCCAGGATGTGACACTTCGGCCACTGTGTAAGGGCCTTCTCAGTTTGGGGCTAATTTACCAAAATGAGTTTTAAACCCTGTTAGGCCAGCTTTTCTGAGAACAAGGTCTCCTACTTTGAAGGTTCGAGGGTGGACTCGTTTGTTGTAGAAGTTGGCTAGTTTCTACTTGTATACCAAAGTTCGAAGTCGTGCTTCCTCTCTGACTTCGTCAAGCAGATCAAGATTCTTCCGAAGCAACTGTCCCCTTCATCGAAATGGGTGACTCTGAAGCTTAAGACTCCTATTTCAATAGGAATGACTGCTTCGGTACCAAAGGCCAGGTGGTAGGGTGTTTCACCTATTTCATTAAGTTATAGTTTTTAGAATATACTTTATATGTTGTGCATATTTGATCTAGGGTAAAGCCGCAGAAGAGAAAATAAAATAGAATGGAATTTACTTGGGTTAGAAGTAGTACCTGTGGCAGTTCGGCTCATAGTTCTATATGCCCAGAGGACGTTGTTGAGCTCATCTGCCCATCTGGCCTTGTGCTACTCCAACCTCGGCTTTATTCCCTCGAGGATAGCTTTATTGACATATTCGACCATACCATTGGACTCCGGATGGTATACTGAGGTAAACTGTAGTTTGATCCCGTAACTAGAGCAGAAATCTCTGAATGAAGAGCAGTTAAACTGAGTACCATTATCAGCCACAATTTGATTTGGGATTCCATATATGCAGATGATTGAGCTGAAAACAAAGTCTTCAACCTTTCTGCAAGTGAGACTGGATAATGGTCGAACTTTAACCCATTTCGTAAAATAGTCAACACCAACGATCAGATGGGTTACACCTCCAACCCCTTTCATGAATGGGCCTAAAAAATCAAGTCCCCACTGAGCAAATGGCCATGGTGCCACCAAGTTGGTGAGCTCTTTTGCCAGTTAGTGAGTTAAGTGTGTGAAGAATTGGCACTTCGAGTACCTCTGTACACAATGAGTAGCATCTTTATACATATTTGACTAGTAATATCCTTATCTGAGGACTTTATGAGCCAGGGTTCTAGTACTAATGTGGCTTCCACATATGCCTTCATGTACTTCTTGAAGTGCGTATTCAGCTTCATTAGGATTCAAGCATCATAGGAGAGGGAGTGAGAAAGATCTCTTATAGAGGATCCCATCAACGAGTGTATACCAAGACGCTTTCTTCCTCAACCTCATCTCTTCTTGCTTATCTGCAGGCACTGACCCATCTCGTAAAAAAGAGACAATTGGATCTGTCCAGCTCGGTATATTTGGGTCTGTGCTGATCTCCATCATTTTTGGCTTCATGAAGCTCAGCTCATCTAAAACTTCAACGAAAACTGTTTTGGAGCTTAAGGAGCTATTAGAGGCGAACTTAGAAAGTGAATCTGCCTGTTCATTCTCAGTTCAAGGAATTTTGCTCAAACAAAATTTTTGGAATTCGCACTTCAGCTCGGCCACCAAGGCTACATACTTCATCATGACAAGATCAACAACCTCGCAGATTGAGTTGACTTGATTAACCACAAGTTGTGAGTCACTGTATACTTGTATGGCCATGACTTTCAACTCCAATGCTAGTTGCAATCCAAGTAGCAGAGCTTCATACTTAGTCATGTTATTAGTTGCATCAAAGTTAAATTTCAAAGCATGCTCACTTCGATATCCATCTAGGCCAACTAAGAAAGCATCAGCTCCTGAGCCCTTGCTACTAGATGCTCCATCAACATATAAGATCTAGTTGCTTAGCTTGGGGTTAGAGTTTGAGTGACATGGGGTGCATTCCACGATAAAATTTGCCAGTGCTTGAGCTCAGATTGCAGACCTCTGTTGAAATGTTATCTTGAATTTCCCCAGTTCTACTGCCCATTTAATTAACCTTCTCGAGAACTTCAGCTTCTAAAGAATCTATCGAAGAGGTTGGTCTGTGAGGACTATGATTGGGTGTGATTGAAAATATGGTCTTAACTTTCTGGTTGAAGTAACAACTGCTAACGTTGCTTTCTCAGCAATAGGGTATCTTAGCTCTGCTCCGTGTAGCACGCTGCTGGTATAATAAACTGGTTTTTGTTGTTTACCTTCTTCTCTCACTAGCACAGAACTAATTGCTTCATCAGAAATGCCGAGGTACAAATAAAGGATTTCTCCATCTATAGCCTTTGTCAGCAAAGGGGGTGAGCTAAGATAAGACTTAAGTCCATCGAATGCAGCTTGACATTCTAGGTTCCATTCAAACTTCTTTTGTTTGCCAAATTCATCATTCTGGACTCCTGACCTCATGATCTTGAAAAATGGCAAGCATTTATTTGCTGACTTCGATATGAATCGCTGAAGAGCTGCCACCCTCTCGGTTAATCTTTGTATATCTTTCACCGACTTCAGTGGTTCCATCTCGACTATTGTTTTGATCTTTTCTGGGTTAACCTCAATTACCCTCCGGGAAACCATGAAGACTAGAAATTTCCCAGACTCCACACCGAAGATGCACTTTGTTGGGTTCAACCGCATTTTGTTCTTTCTGAGGTTGTTGAATGTTTCATCGAGGTCAGTTAAATGATTTTCCGCTTTCAGACTCTTCACCACAATGTCGTCGACATAAACTTTTAGATTCCTGTCGATCTGAACTCAGAATACGATGGTCACTATCTTCTGGTAAGTGGCACCTGCGTTCTTTAAGCCAAAGGGCATCATGACATAGCAATAAATTTCATCACCTACATAGAACGAGGTTTTCTCTTCATCCTCTGGAGCCATCGGCACTTGGTGATAACCAGAATATGCATCCAAGAGACTTAATCTCTCATTTCCAGAAGCCGCTTCAACTAGTTTGTCAATGCTTGGAATCGGATAACAGTCTTTGGGCAAGCCTGGTTGAGATTTGTGTAATCGATGCACATTCGTCACTTACCATTTGCCTTCTTGATCAACATTGGATTGGCCACCCATTCACAATAATCAACTCTCCTAACAAAGTTAGCTTGTAGGAGTTTCTCTACTTCTTCCTTTGTAACCTTAAGCCTCTTTCCCCCAAAGAGGCATCGCTTCTGGGCTACTGGTTTCTTTAATGGATTGGTGCTGAGCTTGTGCTGAGATACCGAGGTTGGAATCCCTGGCATGTTTGCTGAAGTCCAAGTGAAGACATCGTTGTTAGCTTAGAGGAAAGCTATTAGCTCTACTCTTTCTTTCGGGTTCAACCGAGTTCCAATTTGTGTCTTCCTGTTTTGATCTCTGTCATCAAGTTGCACTTCCTCTACATCCTCAACTGGGGTAGCTCTAGTTTCATCTTCAAGTTGGTTGTCTATTATCTCTACCCCCATCACCTGCTGATTATCATGAACTTGTTGGGGAATGGTTTCTGATGTTTGATCTTTGCCTTTCTAAGGCCTTGTAACTGAGGTAATATAGCAATGTCTAACCACCCCCTGGTTACCTCGTAGTTTTGCTATCCTCATAGGGGTTGGGAACTTCATACAGAGGTGAGATTGAGAAACCACAGCTTGGATCTCGGTTAATGTAGGTCGTCCGATAACAGCATTGAAGGATGAGGCCAATTTGACAACTAGAAACCAAACTGAGGGGGTAACATAAGTCCGGTCGCTTCCAAAAGTGACATTAAGAGTAAGGACTTCTTCTACCTGAATAGGTTGGTTATTGAATCCATATATAGGACCATCATACCTCTGTAACAGAGTTGGATCTAGTCCTAAACTCTCAAAACAGTGAAAATACATAATGTCTGGTGCATTCTCTGTGTTAACAAGGACACGTTGTATCTCATAGTTGTTAATCATAACAGAAGTGACCAAAGGATCATTATGGGGTGTTACAACTGTATCAAAGTCAGCAGGTGTGAAAGTGATGGGTTGATTCTTCTAGTCAGTGTCGTCAAACTTTTGTTTCTGATCTCAGTTTTGATGCTTCACCTCCCTGACATACAATTTTCGTTGTTTGGAGCTCAAACCCCCTGCTTCCAATCCTCCGGTAATCATGTGTATAATTCTGGCCGATGGCGGGAGTGGAGGTGGGGCTTGTTGGTATCCCACACCTTGCTTATTTCCTACATTACGAGATCTTTGTGGTTGTGGCCCCTGCTCTCTGACGAACTTCGGTTGTTCTGTTCTTTGGATGTATTCATTTAGCATTCCCTTCTGAGCTAGACTGTCCAATTCGGACCTCAAACTATTACACTCCTCCGTTGTATGATCGTGATCTTGATGAAAATCATAGTATCTAGTATGATCACGTGTAGTAGCAGAACTTCTCATCGGCCTTGGTGCCTCAAATCCATCTTGTTCTTAATCTGCATGAATATCTGCGACCTCGGCAGATTGAAAGAAGTCCATGTAATGCGTGCTTTAGTAGTAATTTGTTGGGGAGGTACTGAGTTCGATTTTCCAAATCTCGGTGTGGAGGTCAACATCGGACCTCAATTCTGTACTGTCTTCATCTGCTTTCTGCTCTGACCCTCATATCTCCAATCTGGGTTTTGATTCTTATGGAGAACTGGCTTTTGTGATAAGGCATATTCCTTAGCAGTTATGAATTTCAAGGATCTGTCATTAACCTCATTAAAAGTAGCAGCAGGATGCTTAATTAAGCTATCTCTGAATCTCTCGTGTTGGAGACTTTTGAATTACAGTTGCAATTCTCACGGCTTGGTTGAATGAGCTGACTTCGAGGACTACATCATTGAACCTACTCATGTAATTCTTCAGAGATTCTCTATCCCTCTGTTTGACTCACATTAGTTCAAAAGTGATTTTCCTAATCAACCTTCCACTGGAAAACTTTGTAGCAAAAACAGATGTCATTTCTGTGTAAGAGTTGATAGATTTCGGAGGCAAACTATAGTACTAGGTTCGAGCATTACCACGAAGAGTGGAAGGAAAGATCTTGCACATCAAAGCGTCAGAGGCGTTCTAAGCTTGCATACAGGAATAAAAAGCATGGAGGTGATCATCTGGATCCTTTGTTCCATCATATGTCTCGAGCTGGGGTATTTTGAAACCAGTAGGATACGGTTCCAATGTAATATTAGTGTTTAAAGGATGAGGTATGGAATCAGTGTTATGGTGGGGAGGTGGGGCACCTCGCTGCTCGGCTACCATTTTTTCTAAACTATCCAGACGTCATGTGACATCATCAGGTAGATGTTGCTGAGCTGGGGCTATGTGAGACTGACCCTGAGACTCACTAAGAGCATGAGCATGTTGAACTGGCTGAGGGTCTTGCTCTTGAACTGAGGGTTGTTGAGTAGGGTTAAGTAGATTGATGAGGGGATCACCAGGATTATTCCGAGTTAAGAGCTGAGCCAAAACCAACTGAAAGATACCGAACTGCTATTGCATGGCAGCAAGCTGAGCTGTGACTAGATCTCCTTGGTTAGGGGTAGGGGCTGAATTATGAGCTGAGTTGTGAGGTTGATTTTCATCTCCTCCTTCTGCATGTTCAACGGGAGGGAATGCATTTGGGATTTGAGGTGGAAGGTTATTGGGGTATTGACCTTGACCTTGTCCAAGAGGTTGAGCTTGATTTCCAACTCGGACAGATCGAGTGTTGACCATGATGAGAAAGCAACAAAAGAGCTTTTAGTTTGATTCCCACAGATGACGCCAATGTAATTGCACCAAACCAGAAGTCCTTCTTTAGTCCGTGTCTTCACTCCAGATGAACCTGCAAAGCCTCAAGGTGGGTCCTCGGGGTAGACACTCCGATGCTTAAATCAACAATAATCGGATCTACCTTTAGAATAATGGAAAAATGAGCTTTAGGTCGGTTTCAATTACCTTTCTGAGGTGGCCCCTGGGGGGTATTTACAGACCTTAGTGAGGTGTCCATGGGCTTACTTAACAAGATAATCGGAGTGTGACGTGTCCCTTTAGGTGATAATTTCAAAACCGAGAAATTATGTGTGATAAATCAGGTGTGGAAATGTTCACTATATTTATCATTCAACCATTTGACCAGAAAGTGCTGAATTTAATTTTGCTTCGGTTAGTAAGGAACTGTGACAGTACATGTACATCCCAAGTTAAGGATCTCGGACCTACTCCTACGCTTTGAAAATTGAAAAAGCAAGAAATTCAGCCTTTTTTTGGTATTAACCTTTCGGTATCCAGAAACCACATTGAGCCCTGACTAATCCGAAATCGAGCCGGGTCGGACCCCATATGGGGGGAAGCTCTCCCAGCACCTGTTTTTCCATTCACAAGACTCAAACTCGAGATCTTACTTAAGGGGAACCGAGCTCCTTACACTCGGATCGACAGGTTGTTGGTAAGAAATTCAGCCTTTTGGTGGAGCTTTTGCTGGTGTTAAATGAAATTTGCTTGTTATTCTTATTTTATCTTCATTTTTTAAAATATTTACAATTAAACCACAATGTATACATCATCATTTATAACACAAATCCCTAAGTTTTCCTTCTCTCGTTCTTCTCCATCCGCCGATCTCCTCTTTGAACAGAATCTTTGCCGTCGCCGACTGCTCTGGTTAGCACAGAAAAGCAAGTTTTTCTGTCTTGTTCCGGTCTCTTTTCTTCTTCATTCTCACCCTATAGTAGATTTCCCTTTTCTCGATCTTGCTGCTCTATTCAAGCTCACACATCCTCATCCTCCTCACCCCAGATCTAGTGGTGTAGCCTCTAATCTTCAACGGTAAGTTCTTGATCCAGTGGTTTATTATAGTTCTCTAGTGCTCTGGTGCCCACGATTTTCATCTCATATGGATTCCCTCTTCACAATTGATCTGGAAACAAAAACCCTACCCGCACAATAGAAGAGAGGAGATTCGGAGAAGCAAAAAAAATGGGAGTGCAATCACACACACAAAAAAAAAAAAAAAACCATCATCTTCACCAATCATCTCTCCGATCTCATCATCTTCACCAATCACCACCAGACGGCCACAGCGACTAGGAACAAAAGGGGAACTTGCTGTTTTTTTCTACAGGACTGGCTGTTTCTGGGTTGAAAAAAAAAAAAGAAAAGGAGAGAGATGTGCTGGGAGGTTCTTTTCAATTTGGGAATTTTGTTTTGCTTGGATAACTATTCTGGGGTTCTTCCGATTTGGTTTGGCCAGCTCTTTGGAGAGAGCATTTTCCAGTCGGCCCTTTTGTAGGAGGATTTTCTGGAGATTAGCTTGAAACGGGCGGATCTGTTCTGCTTTAGGTAACCTTATTAACAACTTGGAAAGATGCTGTGAAAGAAGCCTGTGAAAGTGGGATTGGAGTTATCACTGAGTCAGGTGGGAGCATTAGAGATAATGATGCTATAGACTGTTGTAACAAATATGGAGTCTCACTGCTTTTCACTAATGTGAGGCGCTTCAGGCACTGATGCTTTTATTTCTTATGCCATGAATACCTAGGAATTTTTGAAACTCTTCTTAAATAAGAGAGATGATATTTATACCTTGTGCGTCTTTGAACAACTAAATTTTGCACTTGATTTGCTCATGGCTTCCTTCCTAATCGATATGAAAAATAATATGCTATATGGCATATCTTTTTGTGGCATGAGCATGATTGGAGGATTAATTTTTGTTAGATTAATCTCTTCTGCTTAAACATGACAAAAGCATATCCATTGTTGTGGGATTAACATGGAGTACCATGATCAAAAGTTACAGAACATAAGCTCCTTATTGGTGAATTTGACATAATTATTAATTTTATTATTTTATTTATGTGATTTAAATATAATATGTTTTATTTTTTAATATTAAAATATAAATATTTATTTAATATTTATATTTTAAAATATAAAAAATTAATTTTTAATTATCAATTTTAAAATAATTAAAAAATTAAAATTTTATAAAAATATAAAAGAAAAAACGCAGTGAGAGGGGTACTTGATAAGAAAAAAATGTTTATTTCAATTATTTTATCATTATATTAGATTAAAAAATTTTTTATTGTAAAAAATTTTACCAAATAATTTTTTACTTTATAAGTATTTTTATAAAAAATTTTACTAAATATTGTCAATTTTTCAAAATCAGTATTTTTATAATAGATTCTCTTCAACATGATTTTAATTAAAAACTTCAATTACACCAACGAGTCACCGTAAACGTAATACAGCCATAAATTACAGTGACAGACAACCAAAATCTCTACCATTGCCTTCAACTTGGCGACATGAACCTTTCTCAACCCTTCCATTCTCTGGCAACAAACACAATTGCGCAATCAAAATCACCCACGTTCGTCCAATTCAGTCTCCTCACTTAACCTTGCCACCTCAAAATCATCCTCAATCACCTAATTTAGGTCTTGGTTGGTGGATTCTGCTCTCGTTTTTCTTCTTCCATGGGAGTACTCAAAAATGATATCAGTTTCGATACTGGCAAAAGTTAGATCACGAAAATTGCCTGCGAATATGAGTTCTTCCATCTTTAAGCGAAGGTATTAACACGGAAAGAAGAAGAAAAAACAAAAAAGTTAACACTTTATTTGGACTGAAAAAGTTAGAGGGAAAAGATAGGAGAGTGAGTCAGAGAGAACAAATTTTTCTGTTTGAGTATATCATTTTAACTGAGGGAGAGGGAGATGAAGGGGGATGGAACCCCCTTCTCTCTGTTTTTAATCTTTTTTATTTGGAATGATTGGGATAGATTACATTATTTAATTTATTTTTATTTTTAATTTTTAAAAAAATAAATATATAAATATTTTATTTCAATTATTTATTTA